AGGCGGCCAATACAAACCAGCATAGATTCGGCTACATAATAATGATCTTAAATTATTATTATTATTATTATTAAATGTCATCTTGTTGTGTTGTTGGGTGCAAGAATCGATGAAAAATGAATATGCTGTATCTGGAATTTTTATTTCTAGAAAATATTCACATCATTAAAATTGCACCGTAATGTCACTCTTTACATGGTCGTCTTCTTGGCGCTGGCTAGGCAGAACTGCGGATCGTACCACACGAGTCTTGTATATGACCATTCAGCACATAGTTATAGGCATCTAAAGATTTATATGCCCTCAGTTTCTTTTTCCGCTCTGTTTCTCTATCAGGTAACGTTAGATGTAGAAGTCAGGCCACTCAACCGGAGGTAGCGTTAACGTTAATCCTGTCAGATCGTATCCATTGACAGCGTGTAGCCTACAGTACAGGTCAGCCAATCCGGTTCCGTCCGTTAAAATTAACTTTTGCAAATAACAATCGCGGTCCTGGACACTGAGTGACCTTGCACATTAAGATAAAATCGGATTTTCTCCAGTCATTGTTAAAAAACAAGCTAACAAAACTTGCAAACTAACGTTAGGGAAGAGGCCAGAGGCCAGAGGGATTGTTCTGCCACCACCTAAGCTCCGCCCACAAAAAAGGTCACCATGTTTACTAACTGAAAAGGGGACTATAGTATGTGTGTGTGTAGTATGAATGTATTCTGGACATACTACAGCCACCATGTTATCGACCAGCGTCAGATGCATCGCTTCACTGCCATTCACAAACCCTCTCCCGTGGCCTCATGGGATAGTAAAGTGTCAATCGTACACACACTTCAGAATGTTGCTGGAAGTAGTAGGTCATCTGGGTACTTTTTGTCTACTCTTTTATGAGTACTGGGACATACTTTTTGTCACATACTTTTTTTTTTTTTTGCCTACTATATAGGAAGAATGCGATTTCGGATGCAGCCCGAATGTTTTTCAATCATCAAAAAGAACCGACTCATAAAATTCTGGAGTCAGACTACACTGATCGCGATGTATATTTTTTGATTAAAAAAAGAGAACTGGCTCTTAGAGTCTTTTTTTGTTGGGAATTGGGTTACACTGATAGCGCTGCAAGTTTTTGATTCCCCTACACAGAACTGACTCATAAGATTTGTTTGTGAATCGGACTACACTGGTGGCGTTGTATGTTTGTTAGTAACTCAATAGAAAGACAGCAATTTCTTGCCATTATTTTGCGCTACACAAAGTTTTTTATTGCATCACACTGCGAAATTACACTTAGAACTAATAATTAGTAAGATATTAATTTCTTTGCAGAAAAGTGGTACAGGAAACACACAACTACAAGAGACTCTTTGCCTTTTGTCATTGCGTGTTTCATGTACCACTTTTCTTTGTCGCTGCTGTTTAATTTTCAGCCCCACTGCAAAACATTTTTTTTTATATCTTACCTGAGTTATGAATGTGATTTATCAGTGTGATCAACTAAAAAGATCGATTTGAAGAATCAATATTGGAACCGTTCAAATGATGATCACGACCTATAATATGCATTTTCTCCAGTTCTAACTGTTTTCTAACCATGAATCACACCAATATAGCCAGTTATAATAAACCAACACCCATTTTAGTGTCTTTGAAGAACTCTCTGCTGTGGCCACTCACTGAATCCTGGGAGCGGAGCTGCGGAGAGGAAGGTCCAGGCTGCTCAGGTCCACAAAGTGGGCCCGAGGTTGGAGTCAGACAAAATAAGTGTCAAGCGAGCGTGCTGCTAATTATGCCTTGACTATTACCTGGACTGACAGCAAGAGAATGGGAGGAGAGGGGGTGGGTCCGGAACATTCAGTCAAGCAGAAAGTTCCCAAATGCTGAGGCTAACACAGGTCAAGTGATTTGGCGCCTCGGGTGTATTAAAGCTATTTACAAGAGGCAGAGGGATTTATGGTGCTTTTGCACAGTCTGTTCTTTTATATGACCTGGCACTAGGTGGTCATGCTTTCTGACCTACTCAATCATTATTTCGACCCAATAAAAATCTTTCTTTTCAGATGTATTTAGGTTGTGTTTTAGAAACTAGAAGTGTTCAACGAAAGAATCTCTGCAGACACCATAATCTCAGTCAAGCTGTCTTTTTCAGAATGACTCTATAAATAACACTGGAGCACAAATGTTTTTGTACAGTTTTACAGTTGTTATAGCGTGGGGTCCACAAGTTATTGAAACTCAAACAAAGAAGTGATCTAAAATAATAAAGAAATATTTAAGATTCTCTACTAATCCAATAAGTCAATTTGTGACATTGATCATGTGACTCTGTGGAGAAACTCAGATGTTGTCGCTTCTTTTGAAGCTCAAGTTGCCCGTTGAATCATCTCAAATCACACTGGAAAACATGATCATTTTTCACAGTGAAAACACGTGAACAAGACACTCTGAAATTCATGTATTTTTTAGTTCAGCTTTTTAATCTGTAATATAATTTATCATTTAAAAAATGCAAATATAGGCTATGTATACGTGTCATAATTAATAGATATATTTATTTGTTACACGTCTCATGATTATTAGGTTTTAGATTTTCAAAATTATGAAACAATATATATTATTTTTTAAATCTAAAACCTAATGTTAAGAAAAATCTAATGGAATGGAACGCAAACCACTGATTGGAGAGGCAGGTAATCCATGAACTCATTTTTGCAGCTTGCTTACACTTCCATCTAGTGGACATAAATGATAAGATGGAAAGAATCTAACCGTGATGAAACGGTATAAATCTCAATTGTGTCTTTCTTTTAGCAAACCATATATTTTACTGTAGATTATTATTCTTCCCATAAACAATAGGCTATATATATCCATTAACAAAAATACAGAAAAAAAAACAGTAATATTGTGAAATATTAGGCATATTATAAATCAAAATAGTGGTTTTCTATTTTAATATACTTTAAAATATTATTTATTTGTGGTATGCAAAGCTGAATTTTCAGCATCATTACGTCTTTAGTGTCACATGATCCTTCAGAAATCATTCTAACATGCTGATTTATTATCAATGTTGGAAACAGTCGTGCTGCTTTACCTGTGATACTTTTTTCAGGGTTCTATGATGAATAAAAAGAAAAAAACAGCATTTATTTAAAATAGAAATCTTTTGTAACAATATATACTAGCGTTTACATTTTTTGGGGTCAGTCGTTTTTTTTCCCTTTTTTTGAAAGAACTTAATACTTTTATTCAACAAGGATGTATTAAATTGATAAAAAGTGATGGTAAAGATTTATATTGTCAGAAAAGATTTCTATTTTGAATAAATGCTGTTCTTTTAAACTTTAGCAATGTTGGTGAAAATTCAGCCTTGCATTACAGAAATAAATTATATTATAATGTATATTAAAATATAAAAAATACATTATTTTTAATTGCAATAGGCTAATATTTCACAATATTACAGTTTTTTCTGTATTTTTGATCAAATAAACACTGGCTTGATGAGCATAAAAAACCTCTTTCAAAAACATTAACAATTGTAATTTCCAAATTTTGACCGTGTGTGTGTGTGTATCACAAACGCTGCATAACTGCATATCTGGTCAATGACATAAAATCTGTCTGATTGCTCAACAGGGTTTATGGCCCCCGGTCTGCAGCCAACTGAGAGCGTTGCCATGACGACACCAGCTGCACAAGTGAGATAAAAATAGTATGAAAATCAGAAATACATGAAAAGGTTAAAACATAATTTATGTGATTCCATATATCTCATCTTTAATGTATTAATTAATTTGTTTTGGATGTGGGCTTTATGTAGAATGGTTACAGAAATATGTTAATTACAACATATGACATAAAACCTTCAGTCTATTTCTGTTGTGTTTGTGGAGTATTTCCTCTTTATTCAGGTTCTTGCACGTTATGTTAGTTTTCCTCAGTTACACATATTGTAGTGACAAGTGTTGAATTCTGACATTTTTGTCCTTGGATATATGTTATTGAGCTCAGTTGATAGCTCATCTGTCTGTCAAAACAAAAGGTCAGTTTCTTCACTCACTTTACATGAAGAGCACATCGACGGACACATGACAAAAGGTTAAACCTCTGAGAATGAAGAAGCTAAAAAGCATTTAGTTTCATTCACAGTATTGAGCCATTCTTTCATAACAACATTCTTCAGTTCTAAGAGCTTTTCTACTTTGTTGGTGATGAAGAGAGATTTAATTAAAGTATTCAAAAATTGCAATATGTGAATGATATTCACTCTGCATAATTCAGTTTGACTTTCAAGGGATCTTCAATTGCATTTTACTTTAAATAAACCAAGTGCCCTTTCACTGATATTTGCATAACCAGGATGATTTGATTTCCTTATCCATGTATGATAAGTTTGTGATTAAGCGAACACGATGAAGGTTTAACTTTTGGATTGAGGTTTGACAGTTAGAAATGGGATTCTTGCTCATCTCAGAACAAATTGCTTTGTCATATTGAACTACTTTAACCACTATTTTACCAATTTGTTGAATAAAGTTGCATGCAAATGAGATAATTTGTGCATATGTAGCCAACAGACTGTAATACACTCTTAAAAATAAAGGTTCTTTATTGGCATAAATGGTTCTATGAAGAAAGTTTAACATCAATGGAAACATTCCATTGCACAAAAGTTCTTTATAGTGAAAAAATGTTCTCCAGATTATTCTGTGAAGAAAATAAATCGTTTTTTTTTAAAGAACTGTTCACAGAAAGGTTCTTTGGAGAATCCAAAATGGTTCTACTATTACTATAAAACATATATATTGCATAAAACTCTTTTGGAACCTTTCTTTTTAAGAGTGTACTTTTATTACAAAACTGCTGACATGTTTCTTGTTGACATTAGTAGATTTTTACTGTACTTCAGTGACTTCATCTTTCAGGCACACTACATGGTTCTCTTTTGAGGACGGAGAGAGTCCAGAGATACATGGCTCCTCCCTCAGTGTAAGTAAAAACATTCCAGCCAAGTGAGCGAGCCAGCGAATATGAAACCCTGGAAGTCCCTGATTCCGGTCCCTTCTCCTTGTGAGCACTCACACGCTTACTAGAGGACAAGGACGCCCCATAAGCAGCTGCAGCACATCTTTTTTGAGACTTCTTTTGTTTTGTGGATATACCTGAAAGCGTCCCTTATCCAAAGCCACCATGAAAGCCACCATATTTTTCATTCTCTTGACCGTTTTGGCTCATTCCAGAGGCCAGTACCACTACCAGGGCCTGATGAACTACCTGGAAAACAGGATGGTTGCTATGGAGGTAAGAGAATTTTGGCCACGTTTCAATATACTGTCTGCAGTCCTGCTAGTTTTCAGCCATTTTACAGAGACATTCACTTTTCTAGACATACGTCAAAACTCTGAAACAATGCTAATTCTAAGAGTTCTTTACATTTATTCTACTCGACAACACTTGAAAATGTTGGCAATATCTGTAGCACTGTTTGTTCAAAGTGAGAGTACACAGTACACACACTATGAATTAACTTCTCAAACCAAAGAACCATAGCTTAGATCAACAGACAAAACAAAAAGTCTTCATCTAAGCAAGTGCTGGCTCACATTTACTAAAGATTTAAGTCTTAAGTAAATGGAGACTTAAATCTTTATTACTTTCTTCAAAAGTAATGAAGATTTAAGTAGTCTTACTTTTTTTGGTAACACTTTATTTCTTGTAACACGTTACATGTAGTTACTATAGTAATAACTATAAATTATGCATAATTACTAATCCTAACCATAACCCTATAGTAAGTGCAAATAGTTAGTTAATACTCAGTTATGTATAATTACACTGTAACAAAGACACCTTAAAATAAAGTGTAACCCTTTGTTTCTTGAGTGAAGTTGTACCCCAGTGCAGAGAAACGTTTTCTTGATTGACTGAATAGTTTATCTCAGCAATTCTGTTCAGTGAAGCTGTGCTGGAAAAATTCTAAGACTGATTCAATAAGCAAAATAATTACCGTACTCATGATTAAGTAGACACTTCATTAGAATAATGAATTTATTCTGTCCATTTACAGTCATCATTTCTGTCATATGCAGACAGGACTGCCTTGATTACCTGAATCAGCAGGAGTCCACTGCACAGTGTTATTATTAAAATGTGTGTGATGTACGGTACAAGAAGACTAAAAGCCCTTTGTTTTTTTTGTTTTCTGGTTAGAAAGTTTTTTTTTGTCACACTTTAGATTAGGGTACAATTCTCACTATTAATAACTATTAGCAATGACTTTTTGCCTCAATTAAGTGCTAATTACTGCTTATTAATAGTTAGTAAGGTAGTTGTTAAATTTAGGCATGAGGTGGGATTAGGGATGTAGAATATGGTCATGCAGAATAAGGCATTAATATGTGCTTAATAAGTACTAATAAACAGCCAATATCATAGTAATATGCATGTTAATAAGCAACCAGTTAATGGTGAGAATTGGACCCTGATGTTACTGTTATTTTTTTTAATCTGGTCCCAAAGTAAGGACTGAAAAAAATATTTATTTTTAATTAATATTTATGGAGCAACAACATTTATGAGAAACAAAGTTCGTTTTGATTTGAAATCATGCAATATTAAAGTCAGCTTGAGCAGCTAGCCTAGAGCAAAAGGCCCCTGGAGTGGCCACACTGATATGGTATACATATTTAATGAAAATACTGACAATTCAGCACCATATTCAAGTACTTTTAATATAGTAATACAGTAGGGAAGTTTTGTGACATGTTCTGTACCTCCTGCAACAAGGAGGTACCTCAAATCATTTCACTCATTTGGCAGTTTTTTAATAAGAATTAATAGTTTTGTTCAGCACGGATGCATTTAATTGATCAAAACTAACCGTAAAGGCATTTATAGTTAAAAAATGATTCTAAAATAAATGCTGTCCTTTATGAAGTTTTTTTTTTCATCAAAGAATTCTAAAAAAAAAAAAAAAGTATCATGGTTTTCACAAAAATGTTAAGCAGCACAACATTGATAATATGTTATAATAATATTATATACAATCAAGTCACTAAATAGCTGTAACTACATTGCATGAGAAATTGATTTTTATTTTTTATAACTGATTTGTGGAACTGAAGGGTCTTGAAAATTCTAGACCCCTTCAACTCTGCAATGATTTTTCACAATTTATTAAAATATGTATTGAATTTGATGGGGTCCTTGATAGCCTCAGACATCACTCTGAGGTTCTCCATCTCCTGAATTCAGATAAGAATTGATTTTGCCTTTGACTGGGGGAAAAAAGGCTAACACATGCTGTCCAGAATTACTCAACACTTCTGAACCATTCTTCCCTGCAGGCCTATTCACCATTGGAATAAGTTTAACATTGGATAGAATTTGTTGCTCTTTTTGATCTGGCTGCAGATCATCTTAAACAATTATGTGACTGAGTGTATTTGTCATTTTTCCAGGAACGCATTGCCCTGTGGCATGAACAGAACAACCGCTACAACTCCGACCTGAAGGAATTCAGGCAGCAGGCCGTAGACCTGTTGGAGAAGTTGGGCAAAGAGCACAGTAAACTGCGTTCCGACATGGAGGGCGCAGGAGCACGGGTAGACCGCGTGGAGCGTGAGATGGACTATATTGAAACCAAGAATCCACCTAAGCCTTGTGTGAAAGCAGCAGACAAAATGGTGGAACAGGACGCAGTTTTCAAAGAGAGGAAGAAGGAAGAGTTCTTTGAGCTGTCTGGTGAGTCGGGGAAATCAGGTTTTGACAGCTGAAGCCCAGCTTTTGATCATTTACTTTCAGTTTTAGCCATGACATACTCTTGGTTGAGGAGATTTAGCCTACCGTTACAAAGCAGTCCAGTTTGGGGTTTTCTCTGGAAAATTGTAATACTGGAAAATCAAATTGGGAGAGTTAAAAGCTGCAGTTCAAGGCTGAGAGGATGAACAAAAAGCATGTGCTTTGATTTAAGACATTTGTATTTTATGAGAACTAGCATCCCAGTTACACTCATCCATATTGGGATTGTGCTGTAGGCCTTGTGACTGTCTCACTTGAACAGTATAATGGTAGAATTTCTGCTAATGCTTGGCTGCCTTACACAGAGGATTTATTGGTTTAGAGGAAATGTGCTGCGTCTTGTTAATTAGGAAACAAGGAACAAAGAATCAAGCCAATCAGTTCACTAGATTAGCCATTTGGCTTTTGTGGTTAAAATGTTATGCAATTGTTGGGTTCTAGCCTATTTTGTTATCCAGAAGGCTGGAATCAAAGCAGATGAAAGTATTCGTTTCTCATTTGCCTGTTCATCTGACAGCTTTACAGTTCATCTGTCTCCACTGAAGTACAGTGTTGTTAACACAAAAATCCACTCTAAAGCTTAAGGCTGCAGGCAAAATTCCAGTCCATTACATTTTTTTATTTTTTATTTTTTTAAACAAAATATATATTCGTTTACTTTATACACTATGGTTCAAAAGTTTGGGGTTGGTAAAACAGTAATATTGTGAAATTGCATTATAATTTAAAATGTCATCTATTCCTGTGATGGCAAAGCTGAATTTTCAGCATCATTACTCCAGTCTTCAGTGTCACATGATCCTTCAGAAATCATTCTTAAATGCTGATTCGGTGATCAAGAAACATTTATTAATATTATCAATTTTGAAAACAGTTGTGTTGCTTAATATTTTTGTAAAAACCATGATATACATTTTTAGAATTCTTTGATGAATATAGAAATATATAAATGCACAGTATTTATTTGAAATATATATTTGTAACAATGCCTCTGCTGTTACTTTTGATCAATTTAATGTGTCATGCTGAATAAAAAAGTATAATTTCTTTAAAGAAAATTGAATCCTATTACTGACTCCAAATTTTTGAACACCATGTGTATATATTATGAAAAACATTTTGTAACAAAGAGAATTATGGGCAAGGGAATCTACAAAAAATAAAGTGAATTAAAATAACAATAACATTTTCTTAATCGAATGATTGCTATAAGCTTTATTATATATATTTTTAGAACAGCCAGCTACAAATGTGACAGATCATGACAGGAGAAACTAATAAAATTTCTTTGAAATGAAATATCTTAGAAACATATAGAAGCATACATGACATTTAAGGGTGAATCTCTCGACTGTGGAGGCTTACATTAGTTTTAACTCTTCGGTTTTCACATTCAAGTTTTCTAGGTTTATTTCTTCCATAAAGAAAAATATGGAACTTTTTTCATAATGCGGTCTTCCAGTGCTTGTGTAGACTAAGCAGTCTGTATTGCTTTCAGAGTTTGCAATATTAATCATAGTATGCTCCCGGTAGACATTAATCATGTTTGTTTTCATTGACAGTGTGCGTGAACATTGTATCCAGTCTAAAAGCAATGAAGATCCTTAAAAGGTTGGGGAGCCCGAAAGGTGTCTGGACCAAAGATGCCCGGTCAGCAAAAGTCTACATCTTTAACGGTACATCCGACAACACGCTGTACGAATTCAACTCCGTGCGGGAGCTGTCTGCATCATCAGGCATGTCTAAAGGCAGGCAGATCACCGTTCCCACTGCTTGGAATGGGACCGGTCATGCAGTCTACGATGGCTTTCTCTATTATATCAGTGAAAGTTCAGAGCTCCAAGTTATTAAATATGACCTCAAGAACGGTTCGGTTGCAGACAGTGCAGTGCTTCCCATGGAGGACCGCAGCCCAGTGTACCAACTCAATCCAGAGACGCTGGTGGACCTGGTGGTGGATGAGGATGGGCTATGGGCGCTGTATCCAGCTGGAGACACTATCAATCTTGCTAAGATGGACTCTAACTCTCTGGACATAGAACAGATGTGGGACACGGCGTGTCCAAGAAACAACGCTGAAGCTGCTTTTATTGTCTGCGGCACAGTCTATGTGGTTTACAACACCAAACCGCCGAGCCGCTCGCGTGTGCAGTGTGTGTTCGATGTGAATGACATGGTAAGCAGCGGCGAAGCCCCTCTGATTTATTTCCCCAGGCGCTACGGGGCCCATTCCAGCCTCAAATACAATCCTGAGGAGCGGCAGCTCTATGCATGGGATGATGGGTACCAGATTCTGTATAAACTAGCGCTGAAGAAGAAGCTATGGGCGATAATGCCACCACCTGAGGAATAGTGGACCTCTTTAGTTCTTAAAGGGCTTTATTTTCCTGAAAATGAAAATCCTGTCATCATTTACTCACCTTCATGTTGGCCGTATGACTTTATTTCTTTCATGGAACTCAAATGGAAAAATGTTGAAGAATAAATTACAACCCAGACAGCAATATTAGTGTCGGCCCAGATCCGGCCCACATCTGGTACGCATGGAATCCACATGTATCAGATGTGCCCCAGATATGTTGCTTTCTGGGAATGGATTAGGATTGAGGCATTCAATCGTCAAAAAGGACTCAAAACCACCATAAAAGTCATCTTCTCTGAGTCAGAACTTTTACATGAATTGGCTAATCCAGGTCACTAAACCGGCCTGAATGATTTGTTCACGACTGAATCTGTTCTCAAGTTCAATTCACTGATTCAGTAAGTTATTCAGTTGCAGCAGTTAAAGGCTCACTGAATTATCTGTTAATGTTAAACAACTTCAATTTGGTTCTAATTCTCACATAAAGCTATCATGACTTTTTGTGAAAAAACAAACAAACAAAAATGAAGTTGAATGATGGTTTTAATTACCTGTAATTTGAACTACTCTTTTTCTACAGTACAGAATTCATTTTAAACAACTTAAATTTTCACATGAAGTTATTATATGACTTCATAAGACAATATAGTGGCTTATATAATTTGGAACGACATGAGGGCAAGTAAATGATGGCATACGTTTAATTTTTGGGTGAACTAATTCTTTACCTTTATCAACACACAAATATATTGCTTTTGTTGCACATTTTATTAAAAATATGAGACAATATGCAGTCTCTAATGTAACCCACTATTTGTGATTTGATGACAGAAGTTCACAAGAGTGAAAGAGAAGCAACTCTGTCCTTGAAATGGCTGAAACAACATTTTATTTTGGCATTTTTTAAATACAAGAACCTTTTCAAACATTACAAGTTATATTGCAAGTACAAATGATCAATACAAAATTAGAAAGTTGTTCAGATTCACAAGGGGGCAGAAACAGGTTGTTAAAACACCAGCACACACACGAGTTAGTGATGAGGTAAAGAACCAGATCTAAACCTTATTAACTTTACATTCACCTACAGAAACACACTTTATATTATCTGAGTATTACAACATTGGTGATATTGTAAAAACAGGACCAAAAAGTTTGTCACTTTGTCACAACCATTTCTTCAACAAATTGACTTTTTGACAGAATTTTTAAAGATTCTGTTAAAATATGAAATCTATATAGAAATTTAAAGCTTAACAGTTACCCTATGAGATGATGGAGGGCATTATGTAAAATAGCCCAAGTGCCATGTATATTTCAAGATATTTCAACACCACCAACTGGAGCGTAAACGAACTGCCTGCATAGGTTTTTTTTAATTATCTTTTCATCTTTGTGACAGATGTTATGTGCATTTGTCTTTTCTTATTTGAAACATATAGTCAAAATGTCGAGGACCCGGAAGGGAAGCTCTGAACTAATTCAGTAATTTCTGTGCATTTATGGAACTCATTTCCAGCATATGCATTATGTTAAAAAAAAAATGACAGGAGAATATACTGCAGTAATCATAATTGATCATTTTGCTGGGGTTTGCCTGAGCATCTCCTTCTGCTAAATTTAAATTCCAAGTTAAATTGTGTTGAATAAATGTAAAACAAAACAGAGAAACCACAGGGATAAACAAATAAAATATTGCGGGCAATGGAAATTAAGACATTTATGACATTAACAATTTAAAAAATAACATTATTTTCATTGCTCTGTTGAGCATTAAATATTATAAAAAATAACACTTGCACAAGATGGCATGACTTTTTTTAGACTTACTTAGTTGACAGTTATATTGAATTGTTTGGTTATGCAGATATTTCCATGTAACAGTTCTGCTGGATACAGACTGTACAGTACCACATTATTTTATGCACATCCTTTCAAATATCCCAATTTTTTTATTTTTTTTTTTACAAATAATTGTTGTGAAATAAAACAAAAATAAAAATATGAATCTGAAGATGTATGTTAGTTACTTACCTACAATTTTATGTAATGTCAACCCTTCTCTTTTAAACCATACAGAATATGAATATATTTTATAAGTCTGAGCATACATTGTTTACTCCAGACATTTTTCCAGACAAAATGTGGAAAACTTTGACAGTCCAATTTAACTCAATAAAATGACATGTCAAAAGATGAATGAGATGTCAGCGTTAGATTGAATCAGCATGAGGGTTCAAGGAGGAGTTGAATTGCTATAAATGCAGTGCTACTAAGATAAAGAACCTCTTCAGCATCTCTTTAAATGCTATTAAAACAAAGTGAATACTGTACAACCCACATAAATCAAGACAGATCTCTATGGATATTTCAGCACTCTTACCTTAAATGCCCAGTTTTGTACCTGGTCTTGACGATGAATATTATTTTAATCACATAAATGTATTCAGCTACATGTGAAGTGTTGTTGTGTGTGAACAGGAAGTTCTTTACATGTAAACCATCTGTGTTTCAACAAGAAATTAATGGATAGGAAAAGTTTGTTGTGCTCTGATATATATAGACAGTCTCTTTTTACACACAATATTTATACAACATCTATAAACCGATAATTATTTTGAAAAGTACACCTTCACACAGGGTTTCATACAAGGATTTGACAGAGAAAATAGTTTGTTCGTAGGATAGCACATGACAAATCCTCAATATTTTATATAGGCTACCAACATTTTTTACTTCATTCTTAGGACTTCCAATATTTAATCTTTCATCCACAAAGACCTTTGTTTGTAGCATTGTGTGGAAACTTCTGTTTGCACGTAGACCGCTTGCAGAACACCGCATCGGATTTCAAATGCTTCAGGAAAATTCATATTGGAAAGGAAGATCTCTGACGATACCAAGCTATTCTAGGAACACAAGTTGGCTTTGTAGAGTATTTGTACAACACTTCCATGAATTGACCTAGGATCATAAGGACTGGAAGAGCTTGAACATGAGGAACATCGGGGCAAAGATAGTAGGGTCTGATCTTAGATCAACGTTTGGGAACCATCTAAATCAACCCGTAGCAGGGCTCTCGTTTTCATCAGACAGACAAATGGACTACAGCGAGGATGCCGAGCCTGTAGGTTCACATATGGTTCTGATCAAGGGCTGCCAGGAGGTTTGGGGGAGGGGCAAGACCCCTGACTGTCAAAACTGGCTGTTCTAGCTTTCCACTGTAAGAAAAGACACATGAAAAACCCATCAATGAGAGCATTTAAGAGTAGAAGCAGCACAGCAGAAGAGAGAGCAAATATTGCTCAGAAGAGTGAATTTTACACTGTGGTTGGATGAAACTGATGCATCTAAAGTTATATTATAACGAGGTCACACTTACATACAATTAGGTGGGGTAAAGTTTAATGCGTATTTGGCGTGCTGTCCGGGGGGAGGGCTCCGAGCTCAGAGTTCAGCCCGAACCCAGAGTACTCCCCCCTATGTAAGTAGTTAGGACCAGAGGTGTAGTGGTAAAAAAAGAGGTGGGTAAACTATAAATTCTGGTGGACCACGACGTGGTCACCCGGTAAGGTGGGCCACTGCCTACCGGTGTATGTGTATCTCCTGATGACATTGCTATATAGGGAGGGCTCGACATTAAGCCTTTTCATACGCTTAATCTGTCATTCACTTGTCCGAGTAAAAAAGTTTCTCGTCCGGATTTTTTATTATTATTTTTTTTAATTCTGAAACAATATTCTCATCAGTGTTCAATCACCTTTGATATTTAAATCGGCATATTATAATATCTGCACCTTTAAAGGGCATCCCCTCCCCCAATCTTATTAAATGTATGCTTCATCTTTCATTTTAAATTCCTAAATTTGATCAATAAATTTAATTATTTCGAATAATAAGACACTATAGGGCTGATCAAATTAAATCATTTACACTGAAAAATTCCAATTGCATAAAATAATGTTATGAAATTGATTTAAATTTACAAATAAGAAACGTTGGACAGAATGATCTACTTTTAAACATAACACGAAACCGCCAGTAGGTGGCGGTAGGCGACCGTCTTAATGAGTGAGTCATTGATTCATTCATTCAAACGATTTGTTCAAACGGCTGATTCATTCAAGAATGAGACTGATGTTTATGAATGGGTCATTGAATCTTTGACTCAATCGATTCCTTCAAAATGCTGAATCATTCAGTAGGCCTAATGAAAACAGGTCGAGTGTTCCTGTGAGATGCGCCGTGGTTCTGCTGTGATTCTTGTTTGGAACTATTTTCGCTGCTGAAACAGAACAAAAACAGCCAATATTGCATCTAAAATGTAAGTGACTTAATTTTAACTGTTTATTGAACTGTTGTAGGAAATCAATGTCACATTTTCAATCGTGATGGTGTTCAGGAAAAATAATTGAGGTTGCTTAACATATGTAAAAAATATAAAAACTCCACATTTAGATTTTTTATAGGCAGTATGTTGTTAACTGAGTGTGTGTGTGTGCGCTCATTTGTGTAGATTTCTCCCCGAGAGGCTGCGCGAGCGTCAACAGCGCAACCTCACCGTCAGTAAGTCAACAACACTGACAGTAACGTTAATGCAGCGCAATATGAAAGAGTTCGTCTTAGGTTTAACAACCTATGAAACTAGTAATGAACAATATGAAACTAAAACGACATAAGCTTAATTTATAGCTATTTAGAGGAGGATAAACGCAATTTAGAGGTGGATAAACGCACTTTGGAGGTGGGTAAACGCTATTTCCGAATATTGGGAGGTGCGTAAACGGCGTTTACGTGCGTTTAGCCTCCACTACATCCCTGGTTAGGACTAGAAGTGTGGAGAAGGGGCGGTGGAGGGGTGCAGCTAAACTGTCAATGGATTGAGGTGAGACTGCTGAGTCTATATACACCTCTTATCATTGATTGTTGAGTGCTCTCCACCCGTGTAAATTATCTGAACGTGCTCCTCCCAAACTTTGTTAATAAAACATCATTTAAACATATTTGTTATTTTTTATTAATTATTTTCTATATAAAAATAAATATCATGCTTTTAATTAATGCAAATCCAAACACATCTAATCACGTTCCACTTAAGCAAACTGCATAAATGAGGCTACAAATGAACTAACTAATTAATCCTCAACCTGATTTTTCTCATGCTTTTATGTAATTATCACGGTATATTACAGTTGTATAAATGAGAATAAGCATTTGTTGAATAGCCTGTTTCTCTCTGGCACGCAAATTTATTCAGTTCAAACTTAATTAAAAGAAACAATAATTTCAATATGGTTTATTGGTGACTTCCAATAAAACATAATTTAACTCAAAACAGAAACACAATCATACCCCTTTAAAAATGACCAAAAACAATGCCTTACAAACTAAGCCACCAATTATGTCTTAGGTCTACTTAATATTCAGATAAAAGAGTGTGTGGCCATGCCCCCAAACACAATGCATAGATGCCCAGACAGGCCCACAGCTAAAAACAATGGTATTTTTTTTATATTAATTTTGAATTACTTGACAACTTTGTTCAAAATAAAGACAATATTATTTTATTTAACAGAAAAAAATTAAGTAAACGAAGAGAGCAAAATGCATAATATTTAATATAGCGCCAAATTAAAATCAGCACTGACATATTCCACTCATGTATTATTCATGAAGCACAGTACAAGTTTGAGGATGTGACTAGAGGGATCTGAATATTTACAAAGAGAGATTGGCGAGTAGTCAGAAATGAATTCTGAAAATGCAATTTGCATTAAAAAAAGAGTTCTTATATAAACCAAGGGGGTGTCCAAACTCAGTCCCGGAGGGTCACTGTCCTGCAGAGTTTTGCTCCAACTTGCCGCAACACACCTGTCCTGTACTGAATTGGCGGGCTTGTACTGAAAGTTTGTAGTATGCCTCGGAAGACCTTTATTAGCTGGTTCAAGTGTGTTTAATTGGGGTTGGAGCTGAACTCTGCAGGACAGTGGCCTCCAGCCTGCCACCCCTGATATAAACACTAATTCAGAGGGTTATTATGCCTACCCTTGTTTATGTTTGCATTCCTGGAGGGAGTGTTACTTACCACTTTTTCCGATTTCTTAGGCTCCACCAGGGAGTGCCAGTGTGCAATTGGCTTACGGGGGTATGTGAGCATCTCATTCCAGTGGTCTCTACCTAAACCTTCAGCACCACAGCCCAAACGGCACACACCAATTATCTCATTGTGGCCCACCCTGCAAGATAAGATTTGTTTGTTATAGAATTATGCATTGGTATATCCGTTTAATTTAAGTGATCCAAATAAACACATCCACTCTGGCAATGACTAATGAGTTTGCCTGACAGTGCAACTGACCTCTTTTGCAGCAAGGTATACGTGTAAAAATATGTGCATATATTCTGACTCGGAGAGAGCAGCTGAAGTGCCACAGGATAAAGAAATCAACATACATTTACTTCAGTGGTGCTGAACTTTACGTGAGTCCTTTTGTGAACCCAAGGTAGAGAATAACGAAATAGCAGTTCCTGACATCTAATCTTGTGTGTTCTTGTCTTGGACACTGACTGCTCCAGACTTGAGAATGTTGGGTAAAATGTATACACCCGGTTCTTTGAGCAGTTACCCAGCTGTAGAGAAGTGAGCGGTGAATGCTCTGACATCTGACCTTTTCCTCTTTCTACTTAAGCACATGTACTGTACCATGTGATCATTCTGATGTCTGGTGATCCTGCTATTCTAATATATCCTGTACAGTTTGTTTCAATATTTCTCTGTTTGGGTTGTGTGCAGTTTGCTGCACAATATATTACAACCCCATTTCCAGAAAAGTTTGGAAATGGGGTTGTAATATATTGAAGAATATATATAAAGAATCTGTGGTTTGTTAATTCTCTTGAACCTTATTTAACTGACAAAAGTACAAAGGAAGGATTTCCAATGTTTTTACTGACAAAATTAATAAACAAATTTTGATTTTGATGGCTGCAACACACTACAAAAAAGTTGGGACAGAGGCAAAATAAAAGTGATAAGATTATAGAATATCCACTTTTAATTTTTTTTTAAAAATAAACTCTTTTAAAACAGTCCACAATAAGTAGGTGAATTGGTAATAGGTGAGGGTATTGTAAAAAAAATACATTTCTAAAGACTGCAAAGAGTTTAGGTATTTCACCATCTACCATAATATTGTGAAAAGATTCAGGGAATCCAGAAAAATCTCAGTACATGTAGGGCAGGGGTACTCCAACTCTAATCAAACACACCTGAAGCAACGAATTAAGGTTTTCAGGATCACTTGATGGGGTGTTTGATTAGGGTTGGAGAAGAACTGTGCAGGACAGTCGATCGGCAGAAGCAGGATTGGGCACCCCTGAGGCAAGGCACGAAACCTCTGTTGAATGTGGGTAACCTTTGAGCCCTCAGAAGCCATTGCATGAGAAAGCATCATGCTGCTGTGTTAAATATATCCACATGGACTCTTTATTGCTGGACCATTTTCACTTAACACAGTCTGACGCTGCATCAAGAAATGCCCCAAATGAAAAAAGTAGCTCTCCGGGCCACCAAACAGACTGCTGCCGCGATCTGCCGGTTGATGGCGACTGTGGTTGAACCTGGCCGACATCGGGGAGAAAGAGAAAGGCTTTCTCCTCGATTCGCTGGTTTCGCCCTCTGAGCTTTTCGGCACCTCCGTGGAGGCGGTAGTTGGAAATTTCAGAGAGGCGAAGGCGTGCTCAGCTGTATCCAGGACATACATACCGCTGAGATCCGTGTCCACACCCAGACAGATGGGAGGGCCTGGCCCATCATGGTCCGAGGACCTTAGACAGGGCCAGAGAGCCAGTGTCGCCTCTCGTGCGCCTCCTCCGGGGAGGAGTAGGTCGCAGAGGAGGCGCGACTCCGGCAAGAAGAGGGATCTGAGGGAGGTGATCCAGCACAAATGCACACTGCGTCGGTCATGGATGATCTTCCCTGATGGCGTGATTATATCTTAGCCCTTTCCTCTCTTCCCTGACTCCCCAGGCGCTTCTTACATCAGGCCTTACATCAGCTTGGTTAGTGAGAGTGCCTCTTTCAGGCATGTAAAGGTGGTAGACCCCATATTCATAAAGAACTGTCTGGTGAGTCTTCACTTCGCACACCGCAGGTGAGCTGAGTGGTCTTCTTTAAAAAAATTTGTGTGCAACTAACACTAAAATGTATCTCTCTACAGAGCTTGTTCCCTGTATAGAGCTATGGGGTCATGTTAATGTAATAAGGTAATTACATTTTTGGATTATTTGGGCCCTGAAGTTCCCCTTTAGGTGGCTAGAACGATAGGGAGAAGCACCAGTTGTATGACTTCTCTTATGATGTGAAACTATGTTAGCCTTCGGGCATTCAGCCACCTCAGGGTAGAGTAGTTGGTCTCTCTCATAGGATTTTTTACTTGGAGTTTTGACTGACGCTAGAGCTTCAGATAGATCTTATGTCCGGCCCCCGGGACCATCTGACTTCTTTCCTGAGCACATCGCCCCCTTGAGCTCTGTTTTGGGTTTTCAGTGGGCTGAGCGATTCTGCAGCCCCTTGTATGAAATAATAATAACTATTTTTCTAGTAAGGCTGTGGCTCCTCCGAGCCCTCTGGTAGATCTATGCTTGCAGGCTGGCCCTCACCAGGGCCGCCTCTGTAGCTGGCCTAGGCTGTGCCAGGGATAGTGGAGGCGCTCTGCTTAAGCATTTCTGCCTCTGACCCTTCATTTTGTAAATGTAGGTTTCTAGAAAGTATCCCTGTATGACAGCCTCCTCCAATGGGAGTCGTTAGGCCAAGGCCCACCCCCTTCTCTGCATTCTGGGGTGACAAGAGTAATGCAGCGTGGTGCAAAGGCATGGTTTATAAAGATCCTGGGTTAGGCCTCAAATAGGCCTCCCCGGTACAATGTGTCTTTATTGAGTAGGGTTAGGCCGTCTTTCACCTCAAATGAAGAGACTGGGTCTGTCTGCCCGACCCTGCCGTGCAGAACTAGCATACGGATCTGGGCCGCCAGTATAGGCTTCACTTACCTCGCTGAGCTACTGCTCGAGCGTTGGGTTGTAGGTGGTTTGGTTCACAAACAAGCCCCACTCCCCTAGGTTAATAATAATAATTCGTTACATTTATATAGGGCTTTTCTGGGTACCCAAAGCGCTTTACATGGAAGGGGGAATCTCCTCAACCACCACCAATGTGCAGCATCCACCTGGATGATGCGACGGCAGCCATATTGCGCCAGAACGCCCACCACACACCAGCTTATTGGTGGAGAGGAGACAGTGATGAAGCCAATCAATATATGGGGATGATTAGGAGGCCATAATGGACAGAGGCCAAGGGGCAAATTTGGCCAGGATGCCGGGGTTACACCCCTACTCTTTTTCGAAGGAGATCCTGGGATTTTTAATGACCACAGAGAGTCAGGACCTCGGTTTAACATCTCATCCGAAGGACGGTGCTCTTTGACAGTATAGTGTCCCAGTCCCTTTACTGGGGTGTTAGGGCCCACACAGGGTGAGCACCCCCTACTGGCCTCACTAACACCTCTTCCAGCAGCAACCTGGTTTTCTCAGGAGGTCTCCCATCCAGGTACTGACCAGGCTCAGCCCTGCTTAGCTTCAGTGGGTAACCAGTCTTGGGCTACAGGGGGATATGGCTGCTGATAGTTACCAGTTGCTATCAGGTAGTAGGCTCCTCAGGCTTCCCTGAAGGTGAATTCACACTTAAGATGTTTGTAGGCCTCACCGGCCTCCCTGAAGGCGAATTCCCACTTACGTTGGCTATCAGGTAGTAGGCCGCACCAGGCCTCCCTGGATGCAAGCCCCAAGGACAGGCAAATGGACAGCTAGCCTGACTTACTATCGGGTAGTAGGCCTCGCCGGGCCTCCCTGAATGTGAGCTCCCAGATATTGTGGCTGTCAGGTAGTAGGCCTCACCAGGCCTCCCTGGAGGTGAGTTCCCACATGCTGTGATTATCAGGTAGTAGGCCCCACCAGGCCTCCCTGAATGGAAACGGTCAGGTAGTAGGCCTCACCAGGCCTCCCTGAAGGTGAGTTCCCCACATACTGTGGTTATCAGGTAGTAGGCCTCACCAGGCCTCCCTGTGAGTGGTTTCCTAGCGGTGCTGGGTTCAGGAAGCTAGTGGCCCCTTGCTATCAGTTCAGCTGACCTTAGCAGGCAGCTGCTGAAGGCGAGCTTGCGCCCTGGCTCGACTAAAGGGTTAGCGCCCAGGCGGTCATAGGCCTCTCATGAGGCCTCCCAGTTAGATCAGCCCTTAGGCCTTCACAGGCCTCCTCAGTGTTTTGAAACACAAACACTGGGTAGATACGTGGATAGAGTAGAGAAACTACCCTCGCTGGCAAGGGTTGGAAAGCACTATGCTGAGTCATACTCTCCGGGATACCCCGTCTCTGAGATCCGGGCCGAGTGGTTCACTGCCAGCTTCGCAGTCCCTCGGGTTGGATGCCTTACCTAAGGCAAGTATCCAGAGGCTCTGTCTACGGACAGACAGGAAGTGGCCAGACTAAGTGTCTATGTAACTGACGCCAGGTCAGGCCGCTCTGGTGGCATTTCGGGGTGAGTACGTTCCCCTGAATAGTGATTGGCTGGGGTTCCTTCGGGTTCCCTATCCACATTCCCTAGAAGGGACCCCTTCTAATTGGAAGCTGTGGTTCCAGGCCCTGAGCAGGCCTGAGCATTTAACCATGTTTATGGAGGTTTTCCTGCGAGGCTTATAGCTTGGGCTATGGCCGTAGGGAATGCTGTCACTGACAGCCCAGTGTGACCTGAGGCTGAGTGGTTCTAGCATTTCATTGAATTGCTGGTTCGGACAGTTGTCACTGCCAATGGGCATGCACTCCCCTTAGCATCGCGGCGTGGGTATATCGTTCCCCAAAGCGTCATTCGACGCAGTGCGAGTTCCCTTTCGAAAGGGAACGTCTCAGGTTACGACTGTAACCTATGTTCCCTGAGAACAGGGAACGATATACTGCGTCTCCTTGCCATGCCTCGGGGCCTGCCTATCAAACAGTCCCTTCAGACGAAAGGATATTGTCATGTTTGCAAGGCGCCCTTTTATACTTGCAGGTCGCATGTTAATCATTCACATTAATGATTCACGGGCTGTCGCCGGTCAATGTGATTGCCGTGATTTGATTGTGATTTCAGACACCTGTCACGCCTAAGGTGTTCCCCAAAGCTTCATTCGACGCAGTGTCTCGTTCCCTGTTCTCAGGGAACATAGGTTACAGTCGTAACCTGAGACGTTCTCTGGGCCCGAGCTCATCTCAAATTATCCAAAACAGTGGAAATCTGTGCTGTGGTCAGATGAATCCACGTTTCAGCTTGTTTTGGGACATTCTCAGTTCTAAGTCCCAAAGACGAAAGGGACCCTCCAGACTTTCATCAGTGACAGGTGCAAAAGCAAACATCTGTCATGGTACGGGGAAGCATCAGTCCAAACGCCATGGTTGACTTGCATGTGTGTGAAGGTACCATTGATGTGGAGATGTATTGGAATTGTACAAAGACATATACTGCCATCAAGATGACATCTATCCTGGGAAGCAAGACAATGCCAGGCCTCATTCAGCACTTGCTACAACAGAGTAGTGTCGTAGACACTCTACACCACAGAAGGGATGTTCTTGACTCCCTGCCTGCAGTCCAGATCTGTCTCTTATTGAAAATGTGAGAATCAGTCATGATGACCACGGACTGTTGAGCAGCTGTCTTGTATCAAGCGACATTGGGCAAAAATTTCACTTGCAAAACTGCAACAATTGGTATCCTCAATCTTTAAATGATCAAAAATTGTAATTAAAAAGGAAAGGTGATGTGACACAGTGGGGAAAATGCCTCTGTCCCAACTTTTTAGAGTGTGTTGCATCCATAAAAAAAAAAAATATATATATTTACAAAATGCATTTAAGTTGGTCAGTAACAACTTTGGAAATGTTTTCTTTGTACTTTTGTTAATAAAGGTTCTGGGAAATTAAACCAGATTCTTGATTGTATTGCATTTTACAAAATGTCCCAACTTCTCTGGAAATGGGGTTGTATAATAATATGTGAACTGTGTTAAATGTTAAAGGAACAGTTCAGCCAAAAATGAAAAGTCTCTCGTAATTTACTCCCTCTCATGTTGTCACAATTATGTTCTGTCTTGTCTGCACCTGTTCTTGTTAGTCCCTGATTGGTTAACCTTCATCCACCTGTGTTAGTTCCCTCTTTACCCTGTGTATATATTCTCCCTGTTCAGTTCAGTCCCTTGTCAGTTATTGTTCGTGTCTATGTGATACACGCTGTTGCGTCCTGTTCACCTGCCTGTGTACATTAAAGCTTTGTTATATTTTTGGAATCAAGCTTCATCTGTCTGCTTCATCAGCCAAAGCGTGACACGTGATATATATGACTTTTTTTCTTTATAAACAAAGAAAGGAAAATAATATAAATTTTTAGGAAAAATAATCATTCTCTGTGTCCATACTGGATAATGCGAATGGGTGCTGCTCGCTTGACCCTTGAAAACCGATTGTGAGAAAGTGATCGTTACGGTGATCCATATTACCCCTGTGGATGAATCAATGTTCTTAAGGGAAATGATAGGTATGTAGGAAAGATACTAATATTTTAAACTCTTTTAAACCATTGCTTCTTTCCTATGCGTATTCACAAGCACGGCACCCCCTTCAGGGTTCAATGTTTGAGCCATTAGGTGCACATGGTCCTCCAGAATGGTTTGGTAGTCTTTGGCAGTGACGTGCCCATCAAGCACAGTAGGGAATGCCATAATATTGCAGCCCAAACCATCACTGATCCACCCGTGCTTCACTCTTGGCTTTCAACTGCCCAGGTGTTAAGCCTCTTTGGGGCTTCTCCACACCATAACTCCACAGATGTGGGAGAGACAGTGAAGGTGGACTCATCAGAGAACAATACTTGTTTTACATTGTCCACAGCCCAAGATTTGCACTGTTGGCACCATTGAAACCTTGTGACCAAAAGTTTGGCTATAGCAGCCCAACCATGAATATTGACTGAATATTGAACAAACAGTTTTGGTGGAAACAGGAGAGTCGAGGTGTGCATTAAATTCTACAGTGAGTTGGGCAGCTGGGGTTTTAAGTTTTTTGGATACAATCTGGGTTAGTAGGCTACAAGGACATCCCTTTCAGACAGCTTCCTTTTATGTCGACAGTTACTCCTGTTGGATGTGGTTTGTCCTACGTGGAGGTATGCTGACATTACCCTGGATATCATAGCTCTTGATACACCTCAAAGACTTGCTGTCCTGGTCTATGAGCCAGCGGGATGCGCACCAATAATTTGTCCTCTTTTAAACTCTGATATGTCTCCCAATATGCTGTGTGGATGGCAACATTTTATATACAGCTGTGCCATCGCTCTGTTTATTCAACCTTCACACTCTGCTCTTACTGATGGAGTGTAAAATCAGTGAAGATTGGCCACCAGGCCGAGCATATATAGACGTGAAACCTCCAACAGTGTCTCAGTTTCATTGTCCAACCCCGTATCGTTTCGCTTCAGAAGACATTGATTCATCCAAGTGGGGTCATATGGATTACTGTCACAATTGCTGTGTGTGGTTTTTCAAGCAAAGGAGCGGAACCCATTCAATAGCATTCTATGGACTCACAGATGAATTATTTCCCTGAAAATTTTTGTTTATGTTTATCTGAAGAAATAAAGTCATAAACATTGGTAATGGCATGAGGGTGAGTAAATGATTTGGGTGAACTATCTCTTTAACGCCGTTAAAGGAATAGTTTAAATGAAAATTAAATGTGGTCATTTTCTCATATTATTTCAAAACGGTAAAATTTAAATTGAAAATGAATAATAATAAAAAATATATATGTTTTTCCCTATGCAATTATAAAAAATGAGGGCTGTAGTTTTCATGTTTCAAAAATCAAGAATAAAGTATCATAAAAGTATAATAGTTCACATGACTTCTGCATTACATATAAGCCGGTTGTTCTGTTCATGTTAATTATCAAGTGTGTTCTGAGTATTTTGTTTTGAGTTTTTGTTAATAAATCATTACTGCTGTGAACAGATCCAGCTCCTTTCCTTTACTTTTGCAACCGCCGCTGACAGACAGTGAGTCATTATTGACAGAATTTTCACTTTTGGTTGATCTGTCTCTTTAAATTTCAATGTATAAATGAGAAATAGCTGTTACATACAGGTCATAGTCCATGACTGAGATGTGCAAGCTGACTTGGTCCATGCTCTCGGGAGGGATGTCAAAGATAATAGCCTCATTATAAGTGGGATTCAGGGTGTTTTTCTTTGTTGTGGTCTTCTTCTTTTTGAGACGTCTCCCGTCACAAATGAGGGATACCTTCACATAGGGATCTGCACACAGAAAACACTGGCATTAATTCAGATCCTTTAAACGCTATTAATTTCACATTTGCAGTTCGACTTTTTTAACTTTAATTGAAACTAGTGCATACTAAAATACGTTTAATCAATCCTCTACCAATAGCTTGAAGTTGATGAGAGTATTAGATGAGAAGATTAGAAATGAATGCTGGGTATCTTCATAAAGCCAACTTTGCATTCAGTGTGAATAGAAGGTCATTGAGATTTAGAGCTTTAATGAAATGACTTGAGCGCTGATTCTAACATCAGAGCTGCATACTGATTTCCATCCCTCCATTATTACGCAATTTGTCTGATCCATTTATCGTGTGCATTAGTCAGCCATAAACTACTTCCAGCTTGAGCAGAACAAATCACATGAGAAGTACTTGTTCTGACACCAAATTAGCTTGGGGCACTTCTAAACAGATATAATGCACTGCGTGTGAATACAATGTTACTGCAAATGAAAAACGTTTACTCTTCAGCAGATAGAAGTAAAAATGTCTGGTGTGTGACGCACTATCATTATAAGGAAAAAAACATGATAGTGTGAGTAATTCATGTTATTGGAGCTTAAAATTGTTCCCTGCATCACATTTGTAACGCTTCTTTAGACTGTCTGGCTTAACTCGCTCAGTGATGCTGCTGATTTACCTCTGGGAAAGTTTGTGAACAGACTCAACAGAAGCCAATTTGTAACATGAAACCATGATTAGAACGTGCTGGACGTGTGCATTAACTATATATGAGAAAATAAAAAAAGCTTTCCAGAAGCCATAAAACCAAATGGACCAATTATAGGAGAGAGTGGTGCTACTTTTTATTTATGTTGTCCTCTAGGCAAGGAGAAATGAGACAGAGGTAATATAAAATGGCTATACTTCAGGATGTGTCAGAATTGGACCTATAGTGAGAATTGGACCCTAAACTAAAGTGTTACCAAATGTTTCTTTTTAAATGGATAGTCACATAAAGTATGTTCTCTAGATTATGAGAGTGCTTATAACACTTTTCACCGCACTCTCCCCTTCTTATTTTGATGCTCAAAGGCAGTAAAGCTTTGAGTGGTGAAATTCTACCTGAGTATCCTGTAATGTCCATTGCCTTTAGGTTCCTGCACTTGATGACTGTGAGTGTTAATCTGCCTGCTGTAGGTAGATAGCAGAGTGAGAACATGATCTCCCCAAGGTCCACGCTCTCCTGTCAGACACAGACACAGACAAATCAATGTAGCATGATGTATTGGCACATTTTGTTACAAAGGTCACTTTTTCAATTCAATAGCTCCGGATAATAAAGATAAAAACAGCAAATGTGCATTAATGTACCAGCAACAGATACTATTAGAGTAGACACTGTTCCACAAGCATCACTCCCAGTCAAGATATGAGTATAGAAACCCATTTCCACCTCATGAAAAAAAAAAAAAAATCATGCCTTGGTAAATTATAATTATGACATAAAAAGTTGAAATTATACTAAGCCATAGATACTAAGCCATACTAAGAATGATACTAAGTCGTAATGACACATTAAACATAATAACGACATAAGTTGAAATAAGATAAAAAGCCAAAAATCATAATTATTACATACACTAAAGTCTAAATTATGAGATTAAAAAAATCTTATGACAGTCAAAATTTTAACTCTCTTTCATAATTATTTCAACTTTATATCTCATAATTATGACATTTTGTGTTATAATTTACCAAACCATTCTTTTTTGAATGTGGCGGAAACGGGCTTTCATACAGACTTTCCAATGCTATGACTACTTGTCACTAACGGTGTTTCCTTTGTGAATGAATCTGTTTTGGGGACGAATCTTTTAAGAGGATGAATCATTGTAACAGTGTTGATAGTCAGTAAATATTTTGACTTTTCAATCTGCACAGTGGCTGAATAGAGAAAGATTCTGCATCAATACGATCAATACAGCCACTTTGCTATAGGTTCCCAGATACGCTAAAAGCTAGTTAGTACTGCAAGAAGTTATTTATTGGTATTTGTGGTTTGGCATTTTGACAATGACGGTTGGGTTTAATAAGCCTTTGACTCAATATCGTGGTCTAGGGGAGTACTGATTGGACATATATAGTCACAGTGACCAATTAGTTGTTGCGATTCTCCAAGCCGCAAGCTCTCCTGGACACCACTCCAGCAAACTGTTAATTAAACGTCAACACTCCAAAACATTTCGGCCTTTCCACCAGGGCATGAGGTCCATCATTTCCATCACAGCTGATCCAAGCATATCAGGTTCCCTTTCGAGGGAACTCGCGATGCGTCATCGACGCTTTGGGGAACGCCCCCAGCGTGAATGCGTCTGAGCATCAATGTCAACTAGTCCAATGGAAAGAATGAGCGTCACGGGCGGGTGACGTCATGACCAGGAAGGCATAAGAGCACATCCGGTGAAACGCGGCATTAGCTTCTGTGTCTCAGCAAGCGATCTGTGTCATTTTGTCTCTGTCTATTTACTGTTGTTTGTTGCGGAAAAGGATGGAAACTAAACAAGTGTACAAACAGTGTGCTTCTCCCTGCCCGCGTTATTTAACGGGTGGGGACACACACGAGCTTTGTGTCATTTGTTTGGGAGTGGAGCATGCGGTCTCAGCCTTCGAGGGGGCTGAGTGCCAGCATTGTGAGATGCTACCGCTTCGCATGCTCCGCTCTCGCCTGTCACTCTTTGATAAAGAGAGTGGGCAGGCTCGCGATCCGCAGGGATCAGGACCTGCGTCTGCCGAGGCAGCGCGGAGAATGCATTCCTGGGGATCGCAAAAGGATCTTTCGGAGGGGTTGGAGACGGGTCCGAGGGCTCTTTCTCCTTCCTTACCCGAAAGATCCAGCGCTCCCCCCCCGGTGTCGGAAGCACGCTCTGCGGTTTCTTCCGCCCGGGGAGAGAGCCCTCCATTACTTCATTGCTCTTCCTCCGAGGAGGTCGATGCTATGAGTTTGGAGAGTGAAAGCACACACATGGGGGAAAGAGATTCACAATTTATTTCCCCAGCATATGATGAGCTGGTGGATGTTATGTCGCGGGCTGTAGATAAATTAAAGATTGAATGGCCATCTGATAATAGGGGCGCTCTTCCTAAGAGTAAATTAGATGAGCGCTTTTTATCTTCTACTGCTTCATCTCCACCACGAGGGCTTCCATTTTTTCCTGATCTTCACAATGAGATTTCTAAATCATGGAATAAGCCATACTCATCACGACTTTTCAGCCCTCAAGTTAATATTTATTCAAGAATTAGAGGGCTGAAAGAGTATGGTTATGAGGCGATGCCCCAGGCGGAACAGAATTTAGCCAGCTATCTTTCCCCTGGTCCCGCATCATCTCTGAAAGCCTCGGCTTTGCCCACTAGACCGCTCAAAGCCACGTCGGTGTTAGTGGGCAAAGCTTATACGGCAGCAGGTCAAGCTGGAGCGTGTCTGCATACTATGGCAGTGCTTCAGGCTTATCAAGCTGACCTGCTGGGGGATCTGGATAATAGTGAGGGAGTTAGTCATGACGATATTCGAGAACTTCGTCGGGCTACCGATCTTTCTCTCAGGGCTACTAAAGAGACCGCCAGAGCAATTGGGGGGTCTATGGCAGCTTTGGTAGCTACTGAGAGACATTTATGGTTGAATCTTTCGGAGATTAAAGAAAAAGATCGTGCTTTTTTGTTAGATGCTCCGCTTGAACCTTCTGGTCTCTTTGGTGACGCAGTCCAGACGGTCGTCGAGATATTTCAGGAATCAAAAAAGCAAGCGGACGCTTTCAAAAAGTTTATCCCTCGCCGTGTCCAGCCCCCTGGGGCTGCTGGGCGTGAGCAGCCCCAGCCATCAAGCTCATCATATCGTGTGCATCAGAAAGAGAGTGTTGCGTCTCGTGCACCTCCACGTGGAAACTGGAGACAGACGCAACCCTCTCAGCCGAAGTCTTCTAAGTCGAAGCCGGATCTGAGGACCGCTCTTCAGGCGAAGAAGACTTCGGCTCAAAAAAAAGAAAAAAAAAAGGTCCTGATGTTCATGCATCAGGCCTGTGAGGACAGCCCCGACCGAAATAGAGCGCTGTACACCTCATTATATGGTGCCCGTTCCATTTCGGGGTCCTCACGAGCCCGTTCTGCCAACCCTGCCACCCTCGGTGCTTCAGGGCGCAGCGGTCTCCAGCGAGTCGCTGATGCTATGCTGCGGCACAGCATCGGTTTCGCGCCCTCTGAGGGGGGCTTTAGAGCGGCCAGTTCAGGTAGTTCCTGCCATTATGTTTCAGGCTCCGGAATTGGCTGTCTCGATAACACCAGAGACCAGCCTCGAGAGGCTGGTTCCCTTAGTAAATTTTCTGGCAGCGTGGAAGCTTCTGCCGAATATTTCTCATTGGGTCCTGCAGATTGTAGAGAAAGGATACAGAATCCAGTTTGGTTCTCGTCCTCCTCGTTACAACGGGGTGCTGCCCACAGTGGTGCATCCCGAGCAGGCTCTGGTAATGGAGCAAGAGGTAAAGGCCCTGTTAGCAAAGGAAGCTATAGAACAGGTGTACTCACCCGACAGAGAGTCGGGTTTTTACAGCCGTTATTTCATTGTTCCAAAAAAGGATGGGGGGTTGCATCCCATTTTAGATCTTCGTCTGTTGAATCGTTCAGTACAGAAACTCAAGTTCAAGATGCTGACACTCAAACAGATCGTGACTCAAATCAGGTCCGAGGACTGGTTTGTCACGATAGATCTGAAGGACGCTTACTTCCAAATCTCCATCCTCCCTCAGCACAGGAAGTTCCTAAGGTTTTCTTTCGGGGGCAAAGAATACCAATATCGGGTTCTTCCTTTCGGCCTAGCTTTATCACCCTGTTGTTCACGAAATGCGTGGATGCAGCTCTAGCCCCTCTCAGGCTTCAGGGCATACGTATTCTGAACTACATCGACGACTGGCTGATTCTGGCGGAATCAGAGCAGTTGGCGGTTCGGCACCGAGGTAACAGCCACCAAAGAGCTAAAGCTAGGCCAGTCACGCACTGTGAAACAGTTCGAGAGACTGTTGGGTCTCTTGGCGGCAGCGTCCAACGTGATACCTTTTGGCCTGCTGTACATGAGACCTTTACAGTGGTGGCTAAGGACCAGAGGGTTCTCCCCGAGGGGAAACCCACTTCGTATGATCAAGGTCACGCGGCGGTGCCTTCGTGCCTTAATTATATGGAGGAAACATTGGTTCTTAACCCAGGGTCCGCTATTGGGAGCTCTTTGCCATCGTGTTACGATCTCGACAGATGCTTTCCTCACCGGCTGGGGAGCGGTAATGGAAGGCCGCTCGGTTCAGGGTCTGTGGAAAAGTCATCATCTTTCGTGGCACATCAATTGCCTGGAGATGATGGCTGTCTTCAATGCGTTGAGACAGTTTCTCCCAGACCTGAGGGGCCATCATGTGCTTGTACGAACAGACAACACATCAGTGGTCTCTTATCTGAACCGTCAGGGGGGTCTGCGGTCGCGTCCGCTTTGCAAACTGGCGCACCAGATCCTCCTGTGGTCTCTGGGGAAGGTACTCTCCCTGAGGGCAGTGTATATTCCTGGGGACCAGAATATGGGGGCAGACATCCTGTCGAGGCAGGAGCTGAGGCCAGGGGACTGGAGACTCCACCCCGAGGCGGTGGAGAAAATTTGGGAGTTTTACGGCCAAGCAGAGGTGGATCTGTTTGCGTCTCAGCATACGACGCACTGTCCACTTTGGTTCTCCCTTACTCACCCAGTCCCCCTGGGGCTGGATGCTATGGTGCAGACGTGGCCGAGGCTACGTCTGTACGCATTTCCCCCTGTTGCTCTGCTCCCAGGAGTTCTGGAACGAGTCCGCCAGTACGGAATAAGCCTACTGCTTGTAGCACCACGCTGGCCGAGTCGGATCTGGTTTGCGGACCTGATCCATCTCTTAGACGGTCCTCCCTTGGAGATCCCGATCAGGAGAGACCTTCTGTCTCAGGCCGGGGGCACAATATTTCACCCTCGACCAGAGATTTGGAACCTGTGGGTTTGGCCTCTGAGGGGGCCCAACTCATAGAGAGTGGTCTCTCAGCTGAGGCTGCTGAGACCATCCTAAGCTCCAGAGCTCCAGCTACTAGGAAACTTTATGCGCTTAAATGGAGAGTTTTTTCTGTATGGTGTCACCGACATCAGTGGGATCCAGTTAACTGTTCTGTGAACACAGTACTCGAGTTCCTGCAGGAGCGCTTTACGTCAGGTCTATGTCCTTCCACGCTCAAGGTCTACGTGGCGGCCATTGCGGCTTACCACGCCCTGGTGGGGGGTACATCGTTGGGTCGAGACCCCCTGATTACACGTTTCCTTCGTGGCACATTGAGGCTGAAGCCTGCAACTCGCACTAAGGTGCCAGCTTGGGATCTTGCTATAGTACTAGAAGGCCTGTCTAGGGCTCCGTTCGAGCCCTTAGATTCGGTTTCAGAGAAATTTCTTACCCTCAAGACTATCTTTCTGCTAGCTATTTCTTCCCTTAAGAGAGTTGGAGACCTTCAGGCCCTTTCGGTTTCCCCCACCTTCCTTGAGTTTGCACCGGGGATGGTCAAGGCATTCTTATATCCGAAACAGGGATACGTCCCTAAGGTGCCGACCTTGATTCCGAGGCCTATTGTGCTGCAGGCTTTTTGTCCTCCTCCTTTTACATCTGCGGACCAGGAAAGGCTGAACCTCTTGTGTCCAGTGCGAGCACTGGATACTTATGTTCATCGGACATCTTCAATGAGGAAGTCCAACCAGTTATTCATTTGCTTTGGATCACCTAAGAAGGGTCTTCCTGCTTCTAAACAGACGGTTAGTAAGTGGATAGTCGAGGCTATTTCACTTGCATACGAGTACTCTGACCATCCGTGTCCCTTGGTGGTCAGAGCTCACTCTACGAGGGGTATGGCGGCCTCTAAAGCCTTGTTATTTGGGGTTTCTATCCAAGACGTTTGTGATGCGGCAGGCTGGTCCTCACCGCTCACATTCGTCAGGTTTTACAGTTTGGACCTGGATGCTGCCCCAGGTTCTCAGGTGCTTAGTGCTTAGTTCCAACAGACTGACACTCAGGTACTTGGAATTCTGGCATTTTGGGTATTCTCGTTCCCAAAGCGTCGATGACGCATCGCGAGTTCCCTCGAAAGGGAACGTCTCAGGTTACTACTGTAACCATAGTTCCCTGAGAAAGGGAACGAGACGATGCGTCACCCTGCCATACTTCCTGCATCCCTGTGATCGGCTTGCTTTGACTTTTTGAAGCTAATGCCGCGTTTCACCGGATGTGCTCTTATGCCTTCCTGGTCATGACGTCACCCGCCCGTGACGCTCATTCTATCCATTGGACTAGTTGACATTGATGCTCAGACGCATTCACGCTGGGGGCGTTCCCCAAAGCGTCGATGACGCATCGTCTCGTTCCCTTTCTCAGGGAACTATGGTTACAGTAGTAACCTGAGACGTTTCTTTTAGATCAAGATAAAACAAGCCTAGGCCTATCCAACAAAAATAAGGCAATGCATTGGAACAGTGGAATTTTTAGACATTAAGACCAACCACTTTGTCTGAAAGTTAAGCACATGCGATGCAAAGGCGAAGGAAGCCAGAGTTAGCGTGTTAGCGTCATCATCTCAGCAGTATTAAGACGTGATGTAAAAATTAATCACTTTAAATGAGCTCAATAAGCCTCTCTCTGACAGACATATCCCATGACTCCCCTGCTTGTGGCTTAATGTCTCTCTAGCTCTCTAAGGTGATTATTTGCAGTTTGCACTTAAGTATCATATAGGGACTTTTTAAAGTGGACTGATGGGCAAAATGCCAGCTTGATAGAAAGAAAAGTTGTGAAAATGTCTCAGAAATGTATTTGTAAAGCAAGTAAACTTTAAGTAAATAAATTGACTATTACAGAAAAATATGGCACAGGTTAAAAAGTCAAGTAATCAAGCTTACTAAATTATGTCTGATTTCCAGAGGAGTAACGATGTGTGAATACAGTGAATGTGTTGAAGTTTTTGTAAAATAATTTGACTATTTCTCGGATCAGACCAAATTCCTTCCATCTTCGCCTTTTGGAACATGTTTGCTGTCAGCTGGCATTATCTTAAAGGGACAGTTCATCCCCAAAAATCTGTCATCATTTACATTTAGCCTATTGTTATCCATTGGTATAATCCTTCTTCCATGAAATATAAAAGTAGAAGTTTAGCTGTATTTTTATGTTCTTTTTCTTACACTGAAAATAAATGGTGGTATCAAGTTTCTTATCCCAAGTCTTCTAAAACAATCAATAGCTTTTTGTATGAAAAAGAGCTCAATTTAGATACGTTATTTTTCACATATAATCCTCTCATCTGTTATAGGTCTCACGTATATATAAATATGGCATGTCACACCATGATTGAAGTCAGTGATTTCAAACGCCATTGGTTCTTTTGTCTTGAAACCATTTGTGACACCAAATTTTGACAAATGCACAAATGACAATTGCATAATTGAATAACAATAAAAATTTGAATATGCACATATCCAAACTGCATATATGAAAAGAACATACGGTAATAGTTTTTTGAGTTTTGAAATGAGTGCATTGAGTTCCAGATTCAAATCTCCTGCCAAGTACAACAGAACGTGTGCTATTGTTCAAGGGGCAGCCGGCCTCCTGCCACGAAAGCAATAACCACAGGTTTATTGAATTGCTCCTTTGAGGATAGCTATAAATCTAGAAAACAGAGAGAAATAAGACTCGTCGAGGAGTATTGCCGGCCGTTATGGAGTGATAAACAAACCTCAGATGACCTCAGTAGCTATTTTGGAGGTTAACTTCAATATTAATATTATGCTGTGATTGGCAGTACCTCTTATTTGAGCCCGTTACAAAAATTAGGCAATTACTTTGTCCACACATACAATCAGCCTGTGTCAGTCATCTCCATGTGTCAATTACTACCTTATCTGTGTGTTAATGAGGGTAGATCCCTGAACTCTCATTAATTTGGCTGTCTTGGTGTAAGCAGGTGTATAGCACAGTGTTGAATATTGTGTCTGCATTTTAACAGACTATAGCCCTATTCGCACGGGATGTACCTGGTGACCTCTAGTCATTTGTAATAATTGCGGAGGTTGTCCGTGATCTTAATCCCGTGCGAATCGGCCATGTCTAATTTGTAAAGTAAAAATTCCCCCGCAATGATACCACATTTTGCCGAACACCGAGGTCCTGTGATAATATTAGTCCCGTGCGAATCGGCATCTCTGTGATTTTGCGAGGTCGTATATAATTTTTTCACTGTTTTTGTTTCCTGTGCGCTTTTTTATCCATCTTTCATAATGGAGTGTTTTGATAGAATTTCGGGTGCTGGGTCATATCGCTATAGCCTACACCATACAACTATACAATTTGCAGAAAGAGAAAGCTGAAAACCATCAGAAGAGCAAAAACAAAAAGAATGATTAGATGGAGATGAATGACATATATAGCAGCATGCGGTAAGGAAGGTCACCGTGATTTTGCCAAGTAAGACATGGTCCTGGATCAACATATTTTGTTGATCCTGGATCAACGTTCCTGTCCCAAAATAGTCCTTACCCAATCCCTACCCCAAAACCTAACCCTACCCATAACTATCCCCTAAAATCAGAGGGTAATGAAAGGTGAATAACACTGATGTTTAAGTACAAGCCTGGTTCTAAGCCTAAACTTGACATAAACTGTAAACTTGTCCCTCAAATCTGATTGGTTGATTGGAAAGTTGATCCAGGATCAACAAAGATGTTGTTGATTTCTAAATCACTCATGGTCCCCAGGTAATACTTATCCCACGCGAATAGGGCTTATGTCAATAACCCAACAAGCTAATTCACATACCTTAGTCGCCATCTAATGGCCTTGTTATTTAGAATTAATTTATTTTCTAATCTACACTAAACACAAACTGTCTGACCGGTGCAAAATCAAGTGTACTTGCTAAGGTTTCAGGATCCATCCTTCCTTCTCTTACTAACAAAAATTAAACTAGTGTCTAGAATGTTGTAGATGACCTGGATGACTTATGATTTATCAGACCAGGCTCACGTCATGTGGTACAGTGGGGTCCAAAAATTTGAGACTACAATGAATACATTTTATCTGTACGAATTTTATATTTTTCAAAGAAATTACTTATGCTCACCAAGGCTGTATTTATTTGATCAAAATATTATTACAGTTTAAAAGAACTGTGTTTTATTTTAATATGTTTTAAAATAGAATTCATTCCTCTGATGCAAAGCTGAATTTTCAGCATCATTAGAATCTTCAGTGTCACATGATCCTGCTATTTGCTTTGCTGCTTAATATTTTTATGGAAACCTTGATACAATTTTTAGGATTCTTTGATGAATGAAATGTTCAAAAGAACATAATTTGGAAAATAGATGTAAACATATTGTAAACACATTTAGAATTTTTTTGTAAACATATTGTAAATAAATTGTAAATATTATTACTTTTGATCAGTTTAATTCATCCTTGCTGAATAAAATGTATTTTTCTTTATATGTATATATATATATATATATATTCAACCATTTGTACCGTATCAGATACAGAAATATACAATTTTATAATATAATAATAAAATCTAATCATCTAATTTAACCTGGAAAAAACCCTTTTTTTATTACCGTTAAAATATAAAATGAACAATGAATTTTTCTTTTTTAAATTTAGATTTAGATTTGGTCACTATCAAAAAAAGCTAATTTGTGACCTTGATCATGTGAACAGTTTTGTACACATGGTCAGATGTTCTCAAACCAACTACTGAAACATTGTGAAATTTTAATCTACATTTTACAAGTCAACTTTTTACTCGAATTTGTTTTAAATTTTCAATGAAATTTGTATATATGTATATATAAAAAAAATAGTGGTCTCAGACTTTTGTAACCCACTGTATATTAATTTACAGATCTGATCAAAATGTGATCAATACATATATGAGCACCCATAAAAAAATCGGCTTAAAATCCAGCAGAATTTCACGATTTGGCAAACACATCAAGAAAAGAGAGAGCGGCAAGGTTCTCTTACAGAGGTAGCGTACTGAATGTCTCTCCAGATGGAGGTTTCCCTCGAGAGATCAGACACTTCTAACAGATTGTCCAATATGACCTCCCCAATCATATCGTGCCGTGAGAACCGGTCGAAGTCAAAAACGCTGAGATGGAGCTTCCTGGCGGAAAGCTCATCATAGGGTACCGGAAACTGGAAGGACTCATCAAACGTGGGGTTGAGCGTTTTACGATGGACTCGTGTCTGGAACTTCTGCTTGCGATCTGGAAGCAGGTAGATCTTGACATAGGGGTCGGAGCTGCCGCAAAGATCCTTGGCTGGTAGATCAAATGCCTTGAGTATCTTGACAAGTATCATCTCATTCTCATAGTCATAGCGGAGAGAAAAGTTGATCTTGCCACAGTTTTTGCCGCCTTTACTATTGTCGGAGTCGTCGTTCTCTGTGGTCATCTGCTTGTAGAGTTCAGGCTTGATACGGCCAATGCTGGTTGGCTGCTCATCCACATCATAATCATCTCCCAGGTCCAGACTTCCAACCTGCATTTGACGGGGAAGGTGACGTTTGAAGGAACTATGTCTGAAAAAATGAGATAAAGGAGAGAAAGAGTAACATGAGGGGTTTGATGATGTTTAGAAAAAGTTGGATTAAAAACTGAACAGCCCAAGGCAAGGTTTTATAACTAAAATCTGAATGTTTTTTGTACTGAAATCCTACTGATTTGTCACTTGCATAATTCATTGACTATACAATACTATTGTTATATACACTTGAGCTTTGTCACAATTCGTGAAGACAAACCTCAATACCATGAAGGCAATTGTTTCATCCATTGTGTAACTGCTGTTCTCAAAAGGAGACCGGGTGTTAAAATGAATTCTGGTGTAGTTAATTCACAACTGTAGTGCATACTATTTAATATTAATAAAACTCCATATTTCCCTGTCAGGCTGATCTCTAGGAATGCTCTTTAACAAAAAGCAGTGGAAAATCTTCAAAAGCAGCCACAAACTGAAGCTAAATTAAATATTACTATTTAATGAGCAAATACATTACTACATGACATATCAAATTTTGAGTGGACAAGTAATTAAGGTCCCTGGAACAAGCCCAAATGAATCAAGCATGAGCAGCACTTCTCTTGGTTCCAGTGATTATTAAGCAGCTAAACATTAAAAACTCGCCCTGAAGTGAAATTGAAATACATTATTGAAGGGATAAAATAACAAAGCAGTCACAGATGGAAGACTTCACTGTCCTCTAAAATATTATGCATCATCAGCAAAATACTTTTCAAATATAAATTATGTTTCCGAGAAGTTTATTTCTCTTGCTGGTGCAGTATTCATCTGTTCTGTAATGTCTTGAGATCCTCTAATGGGGTGACTGTAATTGATGCCTTTCGAGCCATACTGGAATAACCACCTTGGAAATAGAGGAAAGTTTACACAGAAATAATAATACAGGGAGGGTGGTCTGACAGTCTGATTCATAGTCTGCCTCTCCTTCAGGTATATATGTGACAGATGACATGTGTAAATGGTTGCAGACACAGGCTACAGGCTGAACATTGATCAAAAATAGGAAAAAGGGGGAAGATGGGCATCCCTTAAGAACAGTGTGAATTTATAGCTACATTTTAACATATTTAGATGACTTTAGCATGTACAGTATGATGATGCATCCTCCTGTTTATTATTAAAGGAAATGTTGTTATTGCAATACACTGAAAATCATGAAAGGGGTAAGAAGCTCCGCTTTTAAACTTATTTTAAAATGTTCACAGAATATATAGAATACATCTGATTTTGTATTAAAGGGTTAGTTCACCCAAAAATTAAAATTCTGACATTAATTACTCACCCTCATGTTGTTCCCAAACCCTTAAAGGATTAGTTCACTTTTAAAAAAACTTTTGCTGATAATTTACTCACCCCCATGTCATCCAAGATGTCCATGTCTTTCTTTCTTCAGTCGAAAAGAAATTAAGGTTTTTGATGAAAACATTCCAGGATTTTTCTCCATATAATGCACTTTGCTGGGCACTAAACGGTTCAAGGTCCAAAAGACAGTTTCAGTGCAAACTGCAAACTGTTCAAAGGGCTTTAAACGATTCCAGACGATGAATAATGGTCTTATCAAGCGAAACGATTGGTCATTTAAAAAATAAATAACAAAGTTTAAGTTTAATAATGTCAAATGCTCGCCTTGCTCTGTTCTGTGATGCACGTTCGTGACTCTCCTGTTTGAACTCGTTCATCAAAATGAACAAATCTTTTTTCGAGTCATTTGGTTCATTTAACGAACGAAATGAACGAATTGACTCGGAAAAAGATTTGTTCATTTTGATGAACGAGTTCGAACAGGAGAGTCACACAGAACAGAGCAAGGCGAGCATTTGAGCTTATAAAACTTAAACTTTGTTATTTCTTTTTTAAATGAGCGATCGTTTCGCTTGATAAGACCCTTATTCATCGTCTGGTGTCGTTTAAAGCCATTTGAACAGTTTGCAGTTTGCACTGAAACTGTCTTTTGGACCTTGAACCGTTTAGTGCCCAGCAAAGTGCATTATATGGAGAAAAATCCTGGAATGTTTTCATCAAAAACCTTAATTTCTTTTCGACTGAAGAAAGAAAGACATGGACATCTTGGATGACATGGGGTGAGTAAATTATCAGCAAAAGTTTTTTTTAAAGTGAACTAATCCTTTAAGACCTTCGTTCATCTTCGGAACACAAATAAAAACATTTTTGATGAAATCTGAGAGCTTTCTGACCCCCCCATAGACTGCAATACAATCATTCCTTTCAAGGCCCAGAAAGGTAGTAAAGACATTGTTAAAATATTCCATGTGACTACAGTGGTTCAACCTTAATGTTATGAGGCCACAAGAATACTTTTTGTGCGCAACCCCCCCCCCCCCCCACCCCAAAAATTACGAATTTATTTCTTCTCTTCCGTGTCAGACTCTGATGCGATTCACGTAGTAAACACAGCGTATCGCTTCTGGGTTCTACATCAGAACGGCGGCTCATTATTGGCTGGATCCTGCGTCAGCATCACAACCATGCCTTTTTTTCTTTTTTTTTTGCACGCAAAAAGTATTCTCGTGTATTTCATCATTCATTTCATTTTAAAAAAATCGTAATTTGTGTTCCGAAGATGAACGAAGGTCTTACGGGTTTGGAACGACATGAGGGTGAGTAATTAATAACAAAATTTTGGGTGAACGAATCCTTTGAATAACTTTGACAATTAAAATAAAAAGTAATACAAGTATTATAAAAAAATTATTAAAATACAATCACAAAAATATTTCTATAATAAATTCTAAGAAGGACATCTTAACACCGAGTCATAAAACCTTGTACCTAAATAACAACTAGACATAAAAACCTTTAATATTGAACATTTATCAACATTCAATTCATTAATCACAATTAGCCAATGACAACACTTTTGTTCAAACGTTTGGGGTAAGACTTTTAATCAGAAATGTTTCTTTAGCAGCAAATCAGCATCTTAAAATGAAATGATGTGACACTGAAGAATGAATAGCCTTATGGCTGCTTTTCATCACAGTTGTGGGTTTTTTTTCACTGTAAAAATATTTCCCAAGATTCCTGCTTTTACTGCATTTTGATCAAATAAGCGCAGTTGTCTTTTAGGAAAACATTATCTTACCGACCCCAAACTTTTGAAGGGTAGTGTAAGTGTGTGTTCCTAGATGCTTTTTGGCTCTGTTACCTGGTGGATGACGCAGGCTCTGTGGTCTGTCTCTGCATGCGCTGTGTACGGCGCAAAAAGTGCTCCCTCATGGAGAGCTGCACCTCGGCGGGGATGTCGGGAGACGTGCGGCTTATTTTAACAGCTGCCTCCAGAAAGCCCATCGACGCCATAGAATACTTATCCTTTTCAGTCGCCATGGCGACCTCGGATGGCTGAGGACTGGGCAGGAGAGACGGTAAATGAAGTGAGGGGCAGTCGTCAGGGGCGAGGACCGCAGAACTTGACGAGAGGGCTTTGTTCCTCCAAGGAACCCAGCACAGCCTCCAGGAGACGAATGAGGAGAGCAACAGCAGCGCCAGGCCACAGGCTATTATCACACCGATGGGGAGGCCAACAGTGATGTCTACAGCCGGGCGGAAGTGATGGGCCGCACAATATGGACAAACAGATGGTCGAAACAGTGAGACAGACAGAAAGAGAAGTGCATTAGTTTCAAGAAGCTAGGTTCAAATGAGCAATGACTTGTATTTATATTACTTATCTAAAGATCCATCAAACACTGTCTGAGGCCCTGAATTTGATACCACACACACACTCACAAACACAGTGCAGAAATGATGAAATGTAATTAAAGTTATCGCAGATACAAGCCCATAATCTATTTCCAAGGGAACAATGCTACCGGAAGATGCCGCAGCAATATCAAGTGCTCTCACTGCGACGCTTTCAACCCATCAATGGCTCTTACGCATGTAGGCGGAAAGCAAGCGCAAACTCATTTCTTCACGATTACAGAGAATTTGCTTGCAAAAGAACAAACGGACTGGAGAAGCTCAAAGACTGCTGACAAGCACTGTGTAAACAATAATGTAAAATAAAAGGGAGAGTTGTCATTTTGTGTGGGAGCTCTATATAGGTTCTAAAGGTTTTAGAGCAATAATATTGAGGCGGCTGAATTCATTTTTATTTTCTGCCTGAGATGTGTTTTTATAGTGAGAAACGCTGATTACGTTTTTTTTTCTCCCAACAGTTGTATGAACGCTCTCCGCCCACTGCTTCAACAGGTTTGATTTATTTGAAATAATGCATGGCGAGATCTCCCTGGGCTTCCTGAGGAAAGTACAACAATGTGTCCTTGCTCAAATGGAATATAAATCTCTACTGACAGTTCAAAGGGCTTGGGGCCACATCTAATTTAGAGTATTTTACAACTTTTGTTCTTCAGTCAGTTCCTCATTTCTTTCCAAGTCATTTGTCATTACGTGACTACTGTAAGCACACAATACCAAGTAGACTCAAGGTCAGAACAGGAGAAATTAATCACGACTTAATAATAATATATTTTTTAAAATACTTTATAATATACAGTACTGGTCAAAAGTTTGCAAAAATAATTAAGATTCTTTTTTTATCAAAAATAAGTCTCTTATACTCACCAAGGCTGCATTTATTTGATCAAAATACAGTAAAAACAGAAATATTATTACAATATTAAAGAACTGTTTTCTATTTGATTATGCAGAATTTATAAGCAGTCATTACTCCAGTATCCAGAGTCACATGATCCTTTAAAATCATTCTAATATGCTGATTTGATGCTCATTGCAAATACAAATGTATCTTCTGTTCAGGTTGTATCTGTATTTCTTAAAAATATTTAAATAACCTTACAAAAATATTTCAGTTTACTTGAGAAAACAAATTTTCCCCAAGCATAAACACAATCTTAATTTAAGGATGTTAAGATGAAATAAGAAAAAATACTGGTTTAACGTTATTTTTTGTTGTTGTTGCATCATACATAGCTTCTCTAAAGTTTCTAATATGTTACAAGCCGTATATTTGCTGAAGTTTCCCATTTCGTGTGAATAAGCTGTCAAGCGGTTTTCTGTAAACTCTGTAAACTGCTTTCTCTAAAATGTCCATTTGAAGGGCTCAGGGTTTATCCCGAGTGGATATGAAATTTCTTGGTCCAGGGATTTATGTGTTCAAAGGATTTTCACATTCAAACGCTGCCATAGCTTCTGGTTTGTCAACTGATATGATCCAGACTCCGAAATGTGTCTCCCACTGGTTTGCCACTGTTGTCTTTTGATTTCTAATAAGTCTGGCTTGCCTGTACAGCTGGACAGGGCTGATAATGTCAAGGTAATGTGGCAGTTTTGTGGTGGGGTTAAACAATAATTTTAGTCATGTGGGAAAAAAAATTGTGATAAAATGTATATGAATGCCAATTTGATCCTTTTCACATCCAAAAATGAACGAAATAATGCGTCTATTACCCAGTGTGACCGTTTATGGCATGCATACTGGACATTAATGATGATTTGGCTGTAAATCAGCCTGAAGAAAGCAGTACAGCGGACAGTAAAGCAAAGTGAGCTTCCACCCATTGAGATATGGGTAATGAATCCAAACAGTGTGAAATTTTGACTCCCCATGGACCTGGTTGCCAACCAGCATGATATTTCACACCGCTCTGGTTATAATACTCAGCTAATGATCCATGCATATAATGGTTCATAAATGCAATCAGTCAGTCACCAAATATTTTTCTCAGGCCTGTCCAAGACAGAGGGAAGCCATACAGTTTCAGGTGGTTAGTGCGAAAATTTGACAAAAAAAAACTAATCTTTTCTTGGATTAAAGTCAAAAGCCTTATCTAGGGTCAATGACATGTAACATATTAATCTTGTAGCTTCACTACATGTGAGTGTAATCATTGCTTTCAAAAAAGTTTTTAAATGTATCTAAATTTTTTATATTTTTTTCCAAATATCATGCAAAATTAATTCATACTGAACACATGTATTACTGTAATTTTACACACACACACACACACACACACACACACACACACACACACACACACACACACACACACACACACACACACACACACACACACACACACACACACACACACACACACACACACATATATATTTCCAAATAACATTATTTATTCATATTTATTCATTATTTATTCATTCATAAATATCATTAAGTTTTAGAGACTTGTACCAAATTACATTTTACAACATAGGTCTATACTATCCTTGTTATAAAAAAGGGTAGGCTAATTATCTTTTAAAGGAGCTGTATGTAAGAAATTTATTTCAATTAATCATAAAATGGCCCTGATATGTCACTAGACATTAAGAAATCATGTTCATTTCAAATACTTATATCACTGACAACAGTAGTCCGGCCAGGATATTGTCATTTAAAAAGTGAAGTTGCAGCCCTCAACTGATGTTGATGTTGTCATGTTGTGTTTTGGTCTGATGCAAGTAACACCCTCCACCTATCTACCAATCACGAAGTCAGTAGTGTTGCGGCATCCAGGTTGCCAGCTCTGCTGTAGTTACCACAGCTGCAGCTTGTCACTTGCTCGTCACTGAAGCTCCTTGTAGCAGCCTAAGTTCCTGCTGGATCCTGCAGCCGATCTGGCAACCTCGAGTCAGGGGGGAGGGGGAGGGGATACACCGCTCTACAGTCATTTGAAAGTGATTGCAGTACCAGTTTTGGCCACAATCTTACATACAGCTCCTTTAATTATTATCATTTCCTTTTCCATTTTTAATGTGTTATTTTAGTATCATTCATATACTATTATAGTTTTTCATATTTTGAATTTATTTTTATTCTTATATTTTTCTTTTTAATTTTGAAAGTTTTAGTCATTTTGTTGTATGTTTTTGTCAAGTTTTTTCTTAAATGTCTATATAGTTTTTATAAATTTTTATTTCAGTTTTAGATATTTTAGTTAGTACATCAATTTAAAGTAATTGAAAATGAGAACGGTTCAACTAGCTAAAATATGAAAGGTTTAATTTTTTTAAATAATTTGTTTTATTTCGGTTACAATTATTTTATTTCTTTGTTTATTTTTATACACTGAACAAAAATTATAACCGCAACACTTGTTTTTGCCCCCATTTTCCATGAGCTGAATTAAAAGATCTAAGACTTTTTCTATGTACACAAAAGGCCTATTTCTCTCAAATATTGTTCACAAATCTGTCTAAATCTGTGTTAAGGCGGGCATACACTGTGATTTTCGTCCGATTTTGGGCAGAATTCTGACTCGTGCGACTCTTTTTCGGGTCGGGCCGATTTTCAGCTTTGTCGTACTCGTGCGTCGTTTGTCGTGCAGTGTTCGTGCAGTGTAGGCTACATTGAGAAACAAGAGGCGATTAACCTCTCCCGATCGACAATCGGATGGTCGGATGAATTTCTGGCATGTCAGAAATTTTGGTCGCTCCTCGTGACTATATCGCACAGTTGATGCAGAGCTATGAACCGATTGCCCTTAACTCAGTGTTTTTCCCCTCACTGCGCCTGCGCGAAAATAGAAGTTTAACCATTTCATCTGCAGCAAAAAAAAAAAAAAAACGAAAAGAGGGAGATCTTTAAGTTCTGTAGTTCAAACTAGCTACAAATTACTGTTGCTTACCTCCAGTTCGTGTTGCAAAATGGATTAACCATATCCACGTCTTCCAAGCACCTGCGATGTATCACCGTGCCTCTTTTATTAATTTGTTATTCAATGTTTTTGAAATAAACCTGTTTTTAATTTTCATTGATGACTAATTATTGCAGTGTTATTATATTATACATACATATTATAGACTGTTAATAGTTCATTATATGCTTATTTTGTAATCGACCTAAATGTTAGACAATTTTTAATGAGGACTTGAGGAGGAGTAAGCTTCTATGTAATATTTTATTATCCTCACAGCGCGTTGGTTATGCGGTGATGTGCTGTGAAATTATTGCGTGGCAAATTAATTATAATAGCAGATCAATTTAATAATAAAATTAGCCTAGGCCTTCCCTAATAAAAATAATACAATAATAATAATAATATTTTAATACATAAATTGGAAATGCTAAATCCTCCTGATATTGATAGCTGATGCTTGTTTTGATAACATCTCTGGAAACATGATATCGTCTATAGGCGCAACCCGGCACGGGGTTTATCGCGGATATTTCACACGTATAGTGTGAGCAGTCAAGTCGCAGCTCATAAAGCACATAAATCCTGAGCTTTGGCTTTACATCGCATGCGATCTACTCGTTCAGTGTGAGCAGGTACCTTGCTGAAATCGCACAGATATCGCACAGTGTATGCCCGCCATTAGTGAGCACTTCTCCTTTGCTGAGATAATCCATCCTAATTAGACAGCATGATTATTGCACAGGTGTGCCTTAGGCTGGCCACAATAAAAGGCCACTCTAAAATGTGCAGTTTTACTGCATTGGGGGGTCCGGGTGATGCTCAAACATGCTCATCAAAATGTTTGATATATATCGTTTTGTCAGGTCCGTAGATCAGACTGCAAATGCACCTGGCTGCTAATTAGATATGCAGTCAAGCTTTTCTTTACTCTC